AATTTTGAGAAAAACCTGATCCAGCACAATTCAGCACACTTCAGATTGCATAAGAATCCATTTTTGTTTCATCTAATTTCCAAAATTTTGGGAGGCTGAGCGTCAAGTTAGCCCCCCCAGTAAGATTTTGTCGAAAAATTACAGAATATAGAAATTTTGAGAAAAACCTAATAGAGTACAGTTCAGTACACTTATTTCGATTGCATAAGAATTCATTTTTGTTTAATCGGATTCCCAAAATTTTGGGGGGGCTGAGCGTCAAGTTTGCCCCTTATCTTGTTTTTTCTTTAACTTTGGTATCAGAACAGCACAGTTCAAAGTGGTTGCAATTTTGTTAGAAAATTCGAATGTGGGGGGGCTAACTTGACGGAGTTTATTTTTAAGCTTTTTGAAGTTATTTATAAGTAAAATACAGTAACTTTAATTTAGCTGCTGCTGATCAATGTGTGTATTAGTGGTATCGCATTTTAAGCAAGTCATAGCAGACTTAGTTGAGGTGCGTGCGGGCTTCTGGATTTGCGTCGAAACTCTAGGGCTGCGTTCATAACTGAAAGCTTCCCAAAATTGACTCCGAAAGGCATAGACTTAGACTGACTATCAGCCTTATCTTTCGAGTATTGAAGAGTAATTTCCGTAAAAAGCCATTTACTATTTAATTTCAATTTTTTTTTCTAATCTGTTCGTTTATTTTCCACCGCCCACTAATTTATGCTTACCGCCCCCCAAAATCAGCTGAGCTCTTTACCGCCCCCCGAGATGGTTGTAGCGCCCACTGGGGGGCGTTATCGCCCACTTTAGGAACCACTGTTTTAAACTGTCATAATTTCTTTATTTTTAAAATTATTTAAATAAATAAAAAAACATACTGTAGGGTTGGTTTCCAAGTTTTAGATAGGAGAGACAAAAAACAAAAGACTGATATATTTTGACAGTTATGCACACAAATAGCATTTTTTTGAATGGAACACCCACTAAATTTTTGAACTCTTTGATAATATGTTTCATTCTGATTGCAATACATATACAATACACTTTAATACAATTTACTCTATATTTACATGCAGAAGTGTTTTATTGATTCTAATGGAAAATTCTGTCTACCTACGTACCTTTGCAGGTAATCTGTGTAGGTAATCAATATTTGCAGTTAGAATAAATGAAACATTTGTGCATGTAAATATAAAGTGAATTATATTCAATTGTATTGTATTGTATGTAATGCACTAAGAATGAAACATATTATCAAACAAACTTGAAATTTACTCGGTGTTCCATTTAAAAAAATGCTTTTTGTGTGCAAAACTGTCAAAATATATATGAGTCTTTTGTTTTTGTCCATCCTATCCAAAACTTGGAAAACAACCATACAGTATGTTTTTTTTATTTATTTAAATAACTTTAAAAATAAATAAATTATGACAGTTTAAAATGTTATCAAGATAAAATGACCACCCTGTACAAGTATAGGCACCTACTCACTTCATCAACACAAAATTTAATAAAAGAAATAGTATATTACATACCGAGTAGGGAAGTGTTTTATTACTGTCGAGAGATTTATATAGTTAATCAAGACGTGAAGCGTCGATATTGACTAATAATCTCGAGACAGAAATGAAAACTTTCCTCCAAGGTTTGTATACTATTTTATTTGCAAGCACACCATTAATTATGATTAGTCATTTAATTTTTATTATTTAAAAATTAAAACAAATATGCCAAAATATGTCATTCACTGTTTTGACGTTTTCACCTGACATGTTCTCATTGTTGCCAGCAAAGGTAAATAAATTAGAGTGAGGGATATCGGTGAGGGAAGTCGAATAGGGAAATCAGTGAGGGAAATCGAAGAGGGAAGTGACACAGGTAAAGTGTCACTTTCAAATTTTTAAAAAGTCAGTAATGTCGAGATTACGTATATGGTTGCAAATAATAGTACATTATGATATAAGTGTATAAGAGGGCATTTAAAGCACGCGCGACATATTTCAAAACATGACGCCCAGTGGAGTGTTTTGCAAGGGCTTTAAATGCCCTCTTATACACGCATATCATACGCTATTTTTTATTACAAATGTATCATAATCTCAAAAATGTTTTAAAAGTGTTCATTCATTTTGATAAGTATTGTCTGGCTAGCGAAACGGCGAACTGCAAAAGAATTTGCTGCTTTGTCAAACTTGACGGAAATTAGAAACAAAATAATAAACAAGTTGGTGACATATTTTTTTTTTTGCTATATGGGCATGTGTAATATTTTGAAATAGGAAAAAATCAGGCAACATTGCGAAATGATGGAAGTGGAGAGGCGTGATTATTCAGAAACAAGATTCTATTGGTTAGAGCCTGAACGACAGCACGCAGTGGCGTGGTTATCGGCGAAACTAGAGAATCTTTTTTCTAATAATTTTATTGGTTTATTTTCTTGGTGTTTTCGGTGCCACTGAACTCAAAGACATGGCTGTCATCAGACAGTGTCAGTTGAGGTGTCAGTGAATATTTTTAGGTAACGCCCCAGTTTTCTTCCCCCTTTCGTCTCTACCAAGTTACCACTTGTCAGACTATAGTAATTTAAATGGCAGGTTTGCAGGTAAATATCTAGGTAATGAAGGTAGATCGAACGTTTCTATAGCAAACCTTTGAAAAGGTAGACGCATCATAAACATCATTTTATGCACGCTGCAGCGTGCGATAATCGTTGATTATGATGCATGCGTAATAAAAAAGAAATTATTCTATGCCATCATCATTTTCAACAAAAGACACATTCGTTGCATTTTCACAATACTGTCTAATGCAAATTGTACAGCTTCATGAACATTTCATTCCTACCTTTTTGCAGGTACAAGTTTTGGAGCAAACTGACTTGCATCCCCAAAATAATAATTAATAATTTTATAATAAAATCAGGAGCGAGGTCCTTACTGTTTCTTTGTGGGTCTAAGTGACTCTCCTTTTCCACCCAACCCCACTCTCTTGGGTCTAAATTATTTCCCAACCAAAATTTAGTTAATGCATTAGTTTTGCTGTCAAAATAAGAAAGTAGTGAAGATTTGGTATTTTTCCTCATAGAAACCTCATCAAAAATACTGCTGGGATAATGAGAGAGCTCATACTTAAAACATTCCTGGGTATCATCAGGAGTTTTGGCGACACATATTATTCGACTAAAAAGCTGTATTGGGTTGACCATTGACAATGTTTTACCAACCTTTACCGTTTTGTTTGCTTGTGCCATTGGCAAAACCCACATTTATCAGAGGTTAATTATTTACATTATTACATTTCAAATAAATCTATTATATTTTCACTTATTTAACCAAAATCATTCAATTTTTAGATATAATTGGAGCTCAAGCCGTATTGGCCCATTATTTAAAGGCCCATAAGTTCTTTGTTTTTAGGCCGATTTTCAAAAACAAAACATGATTTTGTAGGTATTTTTATTGTCAACAATTTTGTTCTCTTGTAGATTTTCAAAAAAGTTTATAGTTTTTGAGATATTTCCAAAGAAATTTAAAAAAACACAATTTTTTGAGTTTAAAGCCCGATTGGGCGAGTACGGCCCATGCGATTCAGTGCGATTTTTAAGGAAACATTGTCGACCACCTAAAGAAGATTTCCTGAAAATTTCAGCTTGTCCCAAATTTGTTCCGGGTTGGACCCCTAGTTTTATTGGCCTATCACATTTTTCAAACTAAATACTTTTTTTGCAAATTAGCTTGTTTTGTAGGGATAACTTCACACACGTAGGGCACTTTGGGACAAGTGACTTCTTAGAGCCAATTTGGTTTCCATAGGGCTACAGGTTTACTTGTTCTTTTTTCTCAAGTTTTGGGGTCTTTCAACAAAAAGCAACCTACAGTAGCACCATTCAGTGACCATAACAAGGCCCTTCTTGTGTTGCTCACAAAATTCTATAATGGAATTATCATTTTATTGACTTTCTGACATGTAGCTGAGAACCTGAATAAATAACTATTGGAGTCCTGAATAAGTGAAGTGTTTTCATTCATTGGATCTGCAGTAATCATATTCTCAGAATAATCAGACTTGGTAGTAGTTGATGTGGCCAAAAACAAAAATTAACCCTAAAAATTGATAAGCTATGCAGGACAAGGATCTGAAGTAGCCAGTAGGAGATAAATATCAAATTTAAGAGTAACAAATAAGTGAAATAAGTAGTTAGGAGTAGGCACTTGAGTAATAATAATTGTATTTTACGAAACCTTTAGCAAAGTCATACACATACGAAAATATCAAATCTAAGTTTGTGGGTAACTCTAACAATCTTCTTGTGAGTTCATGTTAATGTTAGTTGTGTAGACCAGAGAACACAAACAGTTCAGATTTGAAATATTGTCACTTATGTTGGATCTATAGTTATTGTGGCTCAGCTTACTTAAAGCCAAGCTTAAAGTCGATAATTTCTATTTTTTGCCAACAATCAGAACAAATAAAAAATAAAAGTGTAAGCCATGAAGTTTTGAATAGTCCTTGGGACAAATCTCAGAAAAAAATTGGGTTTCTTTTTATTTGAATCAACTATTTTTGACACTTCTAAATATCTAACTGTCAAATTGAATAAATGTTCAACCAATTTTTTGACTATTTTTGATGAAAATTAAAAATTTTGATTTAAATTTTTCAGTCTACGTGTGCATGATTCAAAAGCCGGTAATGATTCATCTAGCAGGAATTTAAAATATCTAAAATCACTGTGCAAAGAAGATCGATAGAGCCAATGACATTCTTTTCGGTCTACCCCTGCAAAAGGCACAGAATAAATTTGTGGTTTTATCAATAAACTGTACCCCAACTGAAGTTGAATGCACTATTTATTATTTAAACTATTAAAATTGTTGTAAAAAACCTTATCGTTCTGTCAAAAACGTCAATAATAATAATGGAAGCCGGGATTATATTGGTCAGAGGCCGACGCCGAAAATCTTTGGCAAAGTTCATCGGCCATAATAGTGAATAACCAAAAAGACACTTACCATCGTAACGTTCCGCTTGTTCGGCTAATTTAGCCTTGTAAACGTTGTCCTCCCTTTCAGACATTTTCCGATGATTTTGGATTAATTTTCACAGCACTGACACTCACAAAATCGGTCCCTGTCTTCGCGAATTCCCAATATGGCCGCGCCCGCAATAGTAAACGGACGATTATTAACGAATCGACGTTTCGTGCGACTTCGGTCTGTATTATTCTCGGGGCGGCGAATTCAAATTCTGGGATATCAGTATAGACCTCTGTGATTGCTAAAAATTGAAATTTGTATTAGTAATTTTATGTCGAAAAATCTTTAAATGACACCTTTCAAAGTTTATTTTGGCAACCGAATTTTGTTATTTTTATGGAACTTTGATTTAAAAGTAAAAGGATACATAATTCTCTTCAAAATTTCAAGATAAAATTCTTGTTTTTTTTTTTCAACATGTTTTTACTTTTTTCAAATAAAATGTCGAAAACCCTCGGTAATCTAATCTCCAGATAAGCAAACTTGCACTTTCAATGTTGTATAATTGAAACTGGAATTCAATTCTTTAAAAACACTCCAACCAAATTAATTTAAATTTAAATTATTGGATATGCAAGTTATGCAACCCAAAAATCGTTTCATTTCCCTTGAAAAAAAAAAGACAATTTATTTTGATAAGGACAAACACAGTGACGGAGTAGATAGATTGAATAATTTTTTTCCTTTTTTTTTCAATTTACTGCATTTTTGTCAGCTCCAGTTGGACTTTTGCCTCAAAATTGCACTCGATTAGTCGATTGATCAAAAACGGATCCGAAACGGATTCACAATATGTTCGGTGTTCGGCTTAAAACGGAGCCGGAGCGACAAAGCGTTGTTCTCGGCGAGATTCACGTGTTCGACTTGAGCGAACGCTCTCAAAACTCGCACGGAGCGCTCTTTTTTGCTCCGTGGAATTGAATGGATCAAGTTTGATAGAAGAAAAATAGACAAAAGAATTGGTAGATTTCCCGGGATTGCTCATCCTCATGAGGGGTATGTTCATCAATTCTCTAGTCGGCAAGGCCCTCGCGTGACGTCACCACTACCAGCAGCTTGTAGTGATGACGTCGCGCGCAGTCCTCCATGGTATACTTGCGATCCAGGCTGTGCTTGTGAGTTGATTTTTTCGTCAATTTTAAATAAAGAAAAGGTGATTTTAACAAAATTTCAACGTTTAGGAATTCGTTTTTTTGACCTATTGTGTTTTAAACTCGGCTAATGCTTTTTACGCCAAGAGTTGAGGTCTGCGGCTAAAATGACAGAAACTTACAGCTCAATAAGCAGTCCTATTAGGTTGGGTCTTCTTGCTCCTTTCCCATTTTCCAGCACAATAAAATACAAGAGTTGAGGAAAATACAGTTGATAAGGTAGGTAAGTACAACCTCAGCCAAAGGGTGCGGGTACAATAACCCTTTTCACGTGGCTTCGGCTTAACAAACCGCAATATACCGCTCAAATTCGAGCGGCATCGAAGATGTCACTTTGTAACCGGGTTAGAAAACGGTATGTCATTTCTCTAACCGCCTCGGCGATATGGTTACGTCGAGCGGTTAGAAGAAAAAAATATAAACAACGGAGAGCGGGAAAGTTCAGAAAGTGTAAAAAGTAAATAAAAAGTTGTGTTTTGTATATAATATTATATTTTATGAATTTGAAGCCCGAAAGCCGTTTTTCTTTGTATATAGCCTGATTTACGAGGCCCGTGCATTAGAAATTGTTCAGTTTCAGTTTGCAGGTGGATTAGCATAAATAAATACCACCTAGGGCCGGTTTTTCCCTAGCGAGCACATAATAGCGGGTCACCTCTGGGTTGGTTTTATTTTTAACTTCAGGGTAAGCATGTGCAGTTGCAGTTGCTATGTTTACCCTGGAGTTATGCTTAACCAGGGGGTGCCTTGCTATAATCTTTGCTATTGGGAAACCGGCCCTAATCTACCTGCTGATGCACGGACTACGTAAATCACCCTGTATTATGCTCAAAATATGTACCAGAGACGAGACAATCCCAGTTTACCTACTCGATAGGCTGTTGTAGACTGTAGGTAACGGTTCTAGTAGTCTATCGGATCCACCCATGGTCCACATCTAAAGCATTGAACGAAAGGAAATTAAACTGTCTACTTTCCACTTTTTAGCTTGCTGTAATAAAAAAGAATGAAATACTCGATAATTCCACAATTTTGAAAAAAAAACTTGCTTCCCATATTTCTTCACATTTAATTAATTGTAAATTGCTCACATTTAAGATAGTTTTGTCCATCCATAGTAGATATAATAGGTAGGTCAGGGGTCAGAATTAACGGCACTGACCAACCCAACCTCATATCGAATTTAAAATAACATTTTTCTAACCATTCGTTTTCAAGTGGTATGTCATCACTTGACATACCGCCTCTAACCGTTTTGTAACCTGGTTAGTTTAAACCGGAGCGACGTGAAAAGATGTAATGTCATACTTGACATACCGCTACTAAACGTTTTGTAGCCCAGTTAGTTTAAGGGCGGGTATTATAAAACTGCTTTGACAGTTAACTAGAAGTTAACTTTTTGAATTACATGGAATTCCGGAAGTTAACTTTAAGTTAACTCTCAAAGTAGTTTTATAATACCCGCCCTAAACCGGACCACGTGAAAAAAACTAATAGTTCTTTTCACGTGGCTCCGGTTTAACTAACCGGGCTACAAAACGGTTAGAGAAATGACATACCGTTTTCTAACCCGGTTACAAAGTGACGTGTGGATAAGGTCCGTTTCACCAGGGTTCATACTTGACCTTGAAACTTGAAAAAAAAGGGTTTTCGTAGATTAATTCATATGACACATTCAATTTTTTGACAAATTAAAATGAATGACTTCTGGTTTAAGAACCGGCAAACGTTTTTGACGTCATTGATTTGTTTCAGTCAATTTTTATTTGTTAAACAAGGAAGGCAAATGCTGGTGGCAAGTACAAACCTAAGGTACAAACCCTGGCGAAACAAACTTTACCTACCACTCGAATTTGAGCGGTATGTTGCGGTTTGTTAAACCAGAGCCACGTGAAAAGGGTTAATGTACGACTGTAACACGGACCTCTATTCCCGACCAACATGAAATTGAAAATAAAGGATGAACAAATATTACACAACATACAGGGTTATTAAAAAGAACTGCACTTAAATATCTTCAAAACTGCTTAAGCCGCGTTCACACAATTTGGAGTCTGACAGTTTTCAGGCATGCGGAATTCAACTAAGAATTCAACAGTGATATTGGCAATGTTGCCAGATTTCCCAGTTTTGCGCTACACGTAGTCTTTTTGTTATCTCAAATAGAATGCCCCATTTATTTTTATTGCAATGAATTGGGCGTGCCAAAGTGCCAAATTTGATAAGACTCCAAATTTTCAGAATTCTATCTCTACTAGTTGTTGAAATATTAAAACACCGTATTTTCGGTGAAAAGTATCGCAACGCGTGAATATCTTCAAACGCTGCTTAAGCACGTTCACGAAATTTGGTATGTGTGTAATAGGCCCCAGTACATCGACCCTAAAATTTTGTAACTCATGTACACGCCAAACTTCCTGAGCGGCTTCATAACACCAAGTCGGACAATATTTTTCATATCTCTACCCTGGGCGATGGGACAATGCCGCGCTAGCTCTTCGTGAAGTTGTCGTTCTGACGTCCCTAAGGAAGTTGATACCTACATGTACAGTGGGAATCATTGCAATGCAATTGGCACACACTTTATAAATATCCCTCATAATGTGTCAAATCTGACACACCAGTAATAATGCTGCACCAAATGAATTATCTAAAAACTGGAATGCGCATACAGTGCCATATCTGCCAAAAAAATGAAGCCATGAAAGACAGATGCCACAAGGGGGAATATTGTTTTTTTCTGTTGCTCGCTGTCATATGACGTTTTCGAAAGTTTTGTCATATTTCCCTTCACAGGTTTCATCGACTGGAATACGTGTGGGAAGCAATTTTCGCCATTTAACATAATGAGTGCGACAAAAACAGGTATCCCCTCCGCAGCAGCTGCACTAGGCTTCACGTTCGTCCTTATGTGTTAGCATTCCAGTTTTTGGTTATAGTTCATTGTGCTGTACTAAATAGATTTATTGGTTAGAATTTTGACTCAATACGAGGGATTTTAAAGAGTGTGTGCCAATTGCAATACATCTTTTCACGTCGCTCCGGTTTAAACTAACCAGGTTACAAAACGGTTAGAGGCGGTATGTCAAGTGATGACATTACTGAAAATGCCACTTGAAAACGAATAGTTCTTTTCACGTGGCTCCGAGATGGATACCTACCACTCGAATTTGAGCGGTATGTTGCGGTTTGTTAAACCGTAGCCACGTGAAAAGGGTTAATGGTTAGAAAAATTTTATTTTAAATTCGATATGAGGTTGGGTTGGTCAGTGCCGTTAATTCTGACCCCTGACCTACCTATTATATCTACTATGGATGGACAAAACTATCTTAAATGTGAGCAATTTACAATTAATTAAATGTGAAGAAATATGGGAAGCAAGTTTTTTTTTCAAAATTGTGGAATTATCGAGTATTTCATTCTTTTTTATTACAGCAAGCTAAAAAGTGAAAAGTAGATAGTTTAATTTCTTTTCGTTCAATGCTTTAGATGTGGACCATGGGTGGATAGACTACTAGAACCAGTTTATCTAAAGTTTATAAGTTCTCGTTACCTACAGTCTACAACAGCCTATCGAGTAGGTAAACTGGGATTGTCTCGTCTCTGGTACATATTTTGAGTATACCTAATACAGGGTGATTTACGTAGTCCGTGCATCAGCAGGTAGATTAGGGCGGGTTTCCCAATAGCAAAGATTATAGCAAGGCACCCCCTGGTTAAGCATAACTCCAGGGTAAACATAGCAACTGCAACTGCACGCGCTTACCCTGGAGCTAAAAATAAAACCAACCCAGAGGTGTCCCGCTATTATGTGCTCGCTAGGGAAAAACCGGCCCTAGGGGGTATTCATTTATGCTAATCTACCTGCAAACTGAAACTGAACAATTTCTAATGCACGGGCCTCGTAAATCAGGCTCTATACAAAGAAAAACGGCTTTCGGGCTTCAAATTCATAAAATATAATATTATATACAAAA